TGGTAAGTGAATAGAACTAGAAAAAATGATTCTGAGTGTGGTATCCCAGACCCAGAAAGACAACTATAGTATGTGTCCACTTATATGTAGATACTAGCTGTTAAGTCAATGATAACCAAGCTATAATCCATAGAACCCTAGAGGTTAGGTATAGGTATAGATAGATCTGATTAGGAAAGGGAAATAGAAGCCGGGCGTTGGTGGCGCACGCCTTTAATCCCAGCACTCGGGAGGCAGAGGCAGGCAGATTTCTATAAGTTCGAGACCAGCCTGGACTACCAAGCGAGTTCCAGGACAGCCTCCAAAGCCACAGAGAAACCCTGTCTCGAAAAAACAAAAAAAAAAAACAAAAAAACAAAAAAAAAAAGGAAAGGGAAATAGAACATATAGTTATAGATAGATAGGGCAGACTGAAATGGGAGCATCAAGTGGGAATGGGAAAGGGAGAACGGGATGAGGGAGGGAATATAGGAAGAGACAACTAAAATTAAGGGCCATTTGAAGGGTAGTATGGAAAACAATACAGTAAAAGTTTCTTAAATTATATACATATATGAAGGTGATCTAAATGAAATTGCCAAATAAAAGGATAGACAGAGTCCCAACTGACCATCTCTTATCACCAAATGAAGCTACCAATTAAATGGAACTGGGTTACATTTAATTGAGTGGTTGGCCAAAGGGGTTCCACAAGAATCCCTAAACAACCCAGGCTGTTGCCAAGATTATAGGTTGTTCTCCACAAACTGACAACAAGGCTCCATTGCTGAAGACAACATCTAGACAACTCATTGAATATGAAGAATTCAAGCTGATGCCTACAGAGAGCCTTCAACCCTACATTCTACCATCTTTGGTAGAATGAATTATAAGCACCAGCTCAGCTACAAACCCTTTCATCTACAATAGTATTCTGTTTGCAAGAAATGCTAGTGCGATAGTGGCACAAGGCCTGTGGGAATGGGAGCAACCAACCAATATCTGATTTGACTTAAGGCCCACTCCACAAAATGGAGCCCATACCAATACTGCTTGGGTAACCAAGAACCTGTGATTAAATAGCCCAGAGACCGAGGGTAAAACTAAACAGTTCTGTTCTAAAAAGAAAAAAAAGTAGCAATAAAATGACTCCTGATGACCTTCTGCTGTTCTCATAGATCAGTGCCTTACTCAGTCATCATCAGAGAAGACTCCTCCTGCAGCAGATGGGAACACACACAGAGACCCACAGCCAGACATCATGTAGTGAGTGAGAAGCCTTGGAATACTCAGGCCTGAACAGGATTGTCTCCAACAAATACCTCCCCCTCAGGGTTCAGGGAACCCTGGAGAAGAGGAGACAGAAAGAGTGTAAGATCCAGAGGGACTGGAGGGCACTAAGAAAACAATGTCCCCTGAATAAACATGGAAAGGCTCATAAGAACTCACAGAGACTGAGGCAGCATTCACACGGGTCTGCACCAGATGGTGTCCTAGAGCTCAGAGGAGAAGTGGACAGATGCCCTCATCCCTAACCCAGAAGCCATCTCCAATTGATGACTACTTACAAATAAAAACTTAGTTTCCTCTAAGATTGTCTCACTTGGGAAACTACGAGTAAGGGTAGGCTGCACACCCAGCAGTAGATAGCCAACAGAAAACTAACTCAATGGCATTTCTGAGGGTCCTTTCTCATAATGTTGTGTCAGGGATTTGCCTTTTTTTTTAAATCTTATTACTTTCTTTATTTTCTTTATATTTTTCCTTCTCCCTTTTTACTCCACAGGTCCTTTGCATATACATTATGGCTTCCAGTTTAATGTTTTTATGGGATTCTTCAGTGTGCCAACAAGTGGGTCTCTGTTTCTTGTATCTTCTCTTGGGTTCTTTTCCTTCCGTTTGTTTCTTTTGTCCTATTCTGATATGTTCCATTTTTGTTTGTTTTGTCTTACTGTATTTTATTTTATTGCACCTTATTTTATGTTGTTATTATTCCTTAGAAGCCTGTTTGTTTTCTACCAAAAGACAGAAAGGAGGTGGGTCTGAATGGAGAGGAGGTGGGAAAGGGAGAGGGAGACGAAACTGTCAGGAATATAGTATGTAAGGAAAAAACACGTATTTCCAATAGAAGGAAGGGAGAAGTGGTTTAGAAGCTAGTTTTGTTGGTGGGGAGAATGGCCTTGGGCTCTAGGAAGAAAGTTCAATCCTGTCAAAGTGAGTTGAAGGAACCAGGTATGGTGGTGCACACCTGCTGTGGGATCCCTATACTGTGTAAACATATGTCACTGTGACTGGCTTAATAAACAAGCTGACCAACCAATAGCTGAACAGGGTACAGTCAGACAGGAAATCCAAACTAAGAATGATAGGATGAGGAATGGCAGAGTCTGGAGTCGCCAGCCAGATACAAAGGAAGCAGAAGACAAAGGTACCATGTTAATAAAGGTACCACATGTGGCAGAGTGTAAATAAGGAATATGGGATAACTTAAAATGTAAGAGCTAGTTGGTAATAAGCCTGAGCTATTGGCCAAGCATTTACAATTAACATAGGCTCAGAGTGGTTATTTGAGACCAGGCAGTCAGGATAGTAAACTTCTGCTTACACACATTTTTAATCCCAGCACTCAGGAGGCAGAGGCAAACAGATCTTTGAGTTCGAGATCAGCCTGGACTACAGATAGAGTTCCAGGGCAGCCAGGACTACCCAGAAAAAACCTGACCCTAAAACAAAATAAACAAGTAAATAGTTGAAAGACACAGCCTGACTAAAGGGAAGGGTACATCACAGGGTCTATCCAGGACAAAAGAATTATCTTTGCCCTGCAAGCCCGGACTTAGCAAATTTCTGAAGCTCCAAGGCCATTCATATGAAAAGGGTGTGGCTGAAACTCAGGAAAATCACACACACACACACAATGCAGGGAACCTCCTTCCTTTAGAGCATAGGTAAGCACCAAGGTCTGCTCTTTGCCCTAGGGGCACCCATCCCTAGGCCCTGAGGGTACCATCCCTGAGCCCTGAGCCCTGAGGGTACCCATCCCTGAGCCCTAAGGGTGCCCATCCCTAGGCCCTGGGGGTACCCATCCCTGAGCCCTGAGGGTACCCATCATCAAGCCCTGAAGGTACCTATCACTGAATGTTTCAAGCTGCCTCCACTCTCCATGCTTTATGGGACTCAATGCACTTAGACTTCACTGTAGCCCTTGGGGAAGGACAGCCTGTGCTACCCTGGACCAGAAGAGTTGGCTTCACTTCTAGGAAACAGGACAGTCAGAAGAGCGGGGAGGGGGCAGGCACTGCACAGTGAAAGAGCAAAGCTCAGCCGACACTGAGACGGGCAGATGAGCCGTCTAAGACCTGCAATAGCGATAACGGCTGCGTAGATGTGAGGGGTGAACGTGAAGAGTGATGTGCAGCCCAGCCCAGCTGCCAGGGTAGAACACAACACCTCCCATGTGAGGACACTGCTGTCTCTGCGCAGACCTTGGCTGGGCAGAATTGCCTTATGCTGCTTCCCCTTCCTGTAGGCAGCAGGCATCCCGCGTGGATGTGGAGGCGTGAAGACCGAGTCCCTCATCATACCCCCTGATGGGCCACCCAGGGACAGACCCCCAAGCCACCAGTGAGAGCTGTATCCCCACAGGCGACCTGCACCCATTACTGTCCGGGAGGAACGAGAGAGGCACAGCCTGAGCAGACCCGCGGGCCATCCCAGCCTGAGCAGACCCGCGGGCCATCCCAGCCTGAGCGCTCATGTATGGCAGTCTCTGCGGGGTTGCACAAAGTCCACACTTCTGCCATCTTGCTACTTTGTCCTCTCTTTGTGTTTGCTGATGACTTGAGTCCTTTAATGAACTCCCTGAACACAAAACCCACAACAGAGACACCTTTCTGCACACCAACCCCAAAGCAGGGTCACTATCCTGCGTACCAGCCCCACAGCAGGGGACATCTTCCCAAAACCCCAGCTGGGCCCCAGGCCAACAGGGGCTGAGGATATATATGGAAAGGGGAAGCCACCAAGCCCCTCTCCTGACACCCTGACTCTCTGAGGTCTAGGGAACACCACAGTGAGCTACCTCACAAGCTGAAAAATGAACATACTTAGGCTGAAATATCCAAGTAACGACTGAACTCCAGAAATGAGGCAACACCCAGTAACAGTGACAAGAGATACTTGGGGAGAAAGCTTGACAAAGACAACTTGGGAAGGGAGGTGGGTGCTATGGCCCCCAGAACAGCATGAAAACCTCACCTGTGGTTCTGGAAGCCAGGAAGAAGGTCCCTAGGAGGCAGAAGTGACCTGAAGGTCACAAGAGGGCTATCAATCCCTACTTGTTCCATTTCCGTCCAGATGCCAATTACAGGGCTAGTCAAGCCGTGAAAATCCACAGTTGGGATCTAAGGATGTGCATAGCTCCCCACACAAACACCACGTGTTGGCACTCACATTTTATTTTACCCAATGTCCCCCAAGGACAAGGAGCCTACTGTACTTTGAATACAAAACATACCTATAGGCACTAAGTTGGGAGGTTGTAAAACCTTTGGAAGTTGGGAATCACTGGAGGAGTGGGCCTTGGGATACATAGCCTGACTCTACTTCCTGTCCTGTCTGCCCCGTGTGGAGGTGAGGCATGACAGCTACACTGCCACCCCATAGTCCCCACCACCGTTCCTCTCTCTTCCCAGCTATGATGGGCTGTATCCACTCATACCGTGAGCCACCCCCACCCCTGCCTTAAGTTGTTTCAGGTCAGGCATTTGGCCCCGAGACAAGGAAAGGAACAAACACAACACCTGGGCTGGAGGCTACGAAGGGGAGGACCTGCTGAACAGAGGGTAAAGAGGACACAGAAAACCAAAAGGAGGGATATGGGTAAGCAAGAGGGAAGACGGGAAGGATGGCTGTGGGTAGAAACGGGAATCCCGCAGCAGTAAGGAGCTGGAAATGAAGAGCAGCCACAACCCAACCCACACCCAAGGATCCCTGGAAAGAAAAGATACAAATTCACTCACCCTGATCAGACAGGAAGTCCAGCATGGTCTGCAAAAGGAAGGACAGGTGCCGCACAGACAGAGCGGGGTTTCCCATCCTGCGGGAGGCATAGACCAGCTCGTGCAGCAGACGCATTTGAACGGCAGCCCAGCCTCGGTGTGTGCCTGTGGTAAAAGTCACAAGGTAGGTACTCAAGATCATGTGTGAAATGTGGCAGCTCACCAACAACAACCTCAATGATCAAGCTCAAACAATCAAAACCATCGCCATCACCACCACCACTACCTCTACCCTCCCCAAACTCTACCACCACCACCCTTCCATCCATCGCCACCCTTCCACCCACCATTCTCTCCATGCCAAGGTATGATGTCACCAGACCCTTCCTGCCACCGAATCCTCCAGAGGGACCTGGAGGCAGAACAAAGCATCCAGCATCATCGGCCACCATTCCTGTCTCGCCCCTCCACCCTACGGTAGAAAGGAGAAGGAGGGACCCCACCTATACCCACTGGAAGAAGAGATGACAAGACAACAGTATAAGAATGCATCCAACAACAGAAAGACCACCAGAGTCTAGGGATTCGATACCAGCAAGACCTGAACATCCCAATGCAGAAGAAACAGAAGAGAATGACCTTAAAAGCAACTTCATGAAAATGATAGAGGTCCTCAAAAAGGATATGAGAAAATTCCTTAAAGAAATGGAAGAAAAAAAACCAAAAAATGCAAGAAGTCTTCTCTGTTTTTTAATGGTCCTTTTTTCTACTTCTGTAAAGAATGCTACTGGAATTTTGATGGAATCCGCACTGAATCTCTAGAGACTTCAATGTATAGGCTGCATTTGCCCTCTATATCCCAATGTGATCTCAGCACCTAAAAGAAGATCAGGCACTCTGCGCCTTAATAACTGCCATCAACCAGACTGGTGAGTCCCTGCTGAACCAAGACTCAGTTCCTAAAAACCCACATAGGGGGCTCAGGCTCAGACAAAAGTGATGCTCACTGGAAACCTCCAACAGCTCACCACGGTTGCAGTGAGCACACAATTACTGAGAACCTAATGCACAAACACATGAGAGAGCTAAGGGGACAGAGTGCCGTCCCTTACAGGGTACACATTCTGTAAGGATAAGCCTGTAGCAGGTACAGTGGATGGGGAGCGAGTGTGCCACAAGAGCTGGGGCAGGTAGGGGAGGAAGTGGCACAGGAAACAACAGTCCTACTTGTCACAAAGATGCAAGCAGCCCATTTAAAGTGCTTTAGCCACTTATCCTAGCTTCTCAATAAATGCTAGCTGATAAATGCTAATATTATGACTCAATGAATATAATGTGTTTAACACACAGCATCAGCCTCTGACACTGTGGGGGTGATTAATGATCCAGCCTGCTCCATTATTGCATTGAGAACAAACCCTTGATATTCCAGATCTCTACTGCTGTGGTTATACGGCAAAATTACCTACTTATATGTCAACCCCCACTCCCACTCTGGCATCATGAGTCCCTGCACATGAAGACTGTCTGGGGCTTATTAGAATACCCCAGAACAGAGGCCTCTGTATAATCAAACACCCAGTCAATGTCAACTGAAAAGTGGAACAAGAAAGGCATTCCTCTGTCTACTACCTAGAGAGCGTGGACCACTGCCTCACGCATCCTAACCTCAGCCACTTTGCCTAAGATGGTCCATGCAGCACATGCCCTGCTGACCTCATCTCCCACAACCCTGCCCTGCACAGCCAGCCACTCCTCTTCTGTGTGTGCTCAGCAGCAGATACCATCTTCAGCTGATAACATGCACAGTAGGGCCCACGTAAGCTCATGATTCTGTTTCCTCCATCGATTCCTCGTTGCCTTGGCAGCAGCAATGTGCTTTATTCGTCCAAGGATCCTTAACGCCTGGCAGGAGGCCTGGTGCATAGTGGGTACTTAACTAGCATGTGGGTCAAGATGAGAGCCCGATGCCAGAAAACCCCCCTCCTGTTTAGATGTGCATACTCAAGTACGTGAGGATGAAATAGCATGGCTCCAGGGGTTTGCTGGGTGGAAGGTTCACTTTGGCTGTTTTCTCTAGCTCTTGGGTCTTTAGGGTACTTCATAATAACATATCAATTGAAAACCTGGAAGCCAACCTAACACTAACACAAACACCTCCACGGTATCTCCCAGGATGTAACGTGTCTTCCAGAAACTTCCTGGGATATACACTGGTGACATTGTGCATCAATAAAAAGCAGCAAATGAGACGCATCCTTGACGTGTTTCGGCCTGGTGAAAACCAGGTCCAGGACCACACACTGGAACAGAGGAGAATTCTAGGAGGATTAAGAGTCCACATCATGACAAAGATGATTGGAGCTTGCGTGATTTGCAGATTAGCATTTCCATGCTACCAGGACCTGACGACATCCTGGTTGCTACGGAAAAAAAAGTCCAAGTCATGACTAAGCTAGCCACACCTTCAAAAGGCCCCAACTCTCCTCAGTACTGCCACACCAAGAGCTTTTTCTCATGCAGGAAATCAGTGACCGTCACTTGGTTATTTTTCCAAATGGGTAATGGTCCAGTTACTACCATGAGTGGATGTGAATGAGACCCAGAACAAAGTCCCACCCGCGTTCATGGCGTCTCCTCTGTGGGTCAGAGTCCTCCCAGAAAACACTTAAGCTTTTGTAGAGGTAGATTTGCAGCATTTGACTCCTGACAAAACTCTGTGATCTTGTCACCGAGGTTCAACAATTCAGGCTTTAACAGCTGTCATTCAGCAAATCGTTTCTCGTCTCTTTCAAAAAAGTTCCTCAGCAATATCTAATCCCTCATTCAGCAAAAGGCTGAGCAAAATGCAAAACCGAGAAATCTTCTCACACAACAGCACAAATAAGATTAAGATGAAGATGTGGTCCTGTAAGCCAGCAGACACACAGAGCACATGAGCTGGGTCCTAACTCAAACCCCTGCAGCCAGCTGGCAAACAAAAGCTCGCCTCACAAACAAGACCCAAGACATTTCCGGACCTAGAGACCCAAGAGCCTAGCTTTTGTTCACAAGCACGGGGTTTTGGTAGATTTCCATCTAATTCTCTGAGAAATGTTTGAAGTGGAGGAGGAGCTTAAAGTGGTTTTTATTGTCTAGAAATGCAGCCGGCTGACATTTGCCATTTTAATTCTATTGGGCCTCACTTCTTTCATGAAATAACGACAAATGTCCCCTCCCAAAACAAAACTCCAAGTAAAAAGGACAGAACCACTTGGACTTTTCAAAAGAAACATGCTCCGCTCTTAAGACTTGCAAGCGAAGAGCAAGGAACAAATTCAATGACTGGCGACAGGCACTGTGATCCCGTGGGGTGGGATCCAGTCCTTCACCACAGGTGTTCACATGGACACCTCCAATGGTGCAAAGGGACAGCACTGTGGGTCTGCCAGGAAGCTAGGGAGGCAGTGTCGGGTCATCTGCCCACAAGAAGTACCAGACGAGGAACAGCGGGCCGGCATTCGGAGAGCAGAGGAGCAAAGGGATTCCATCTCCAAGGATGCTACCTTGCAGTCTCAGAAGAAACAGCATGCCGCTAGGTGCTGGCGGTGACTGGGAAGCCCGGCAGATGAGGGGAAGAGCTGTGCATCCGTGGGAGGAGAACTTCAGCCTGTTCTCAGACATGCCATGCCCAAAAAGGCAAATTCAAGGCCACTCTTAAGGGTGGCTCTGCATAAAGCCTGGTGCTTTTGGCCTGAAGCCAGCCTAGGGTAAAGTTCAAAGGCACCGAGGAAGTAACAGGAAAGCCCCTCAGTCTCACCAGCGTCCCCTGACAGCACATCAAATGAAGGCCCCACTCACAGGGTACCTCTCAGCATCTTAAAATCACCTTCCCACCTCTCTAAATGATTGCTGTTCCAAAAACTCTCTCTCCCTCTGTCCAGGTTCTATTCTTAGCCCATCAAATCCCTCCAGAATACAGCAAAATCAGCTTGGACACTCTGCTCCCCTTTCCCGAACTGGAGGACCTTTCATTTTCTCTCGTGCCAGCAACTCTAAGCTTTTGACTGTCCAGATGCCTCAGCTCTCAACTCCAATCAACACCATCAAGCCCTCAGGATGGTCACACCAGCAGCAGACTTCTGCTCCGAGGGATGTTGGCCTCAAAGGCTCTCATATTCAGTCCATCTTTTTTTTTCTTCTTCTTCTTCTTTTTTTTTTCAAGGCAGGGTTTCTCTGTGTAACAGCTCTGGCTGTCCTGGAACTCTCATTGTAGACCAGACTGGCCTTGAACTCACAGAGATCCACCTGCTTCTGCCTCCTAAGTGCTGGGATATAAGGCATGCGCCACCAATGACCAACTTAGTCCCCTTCATGCCATCCTCTGGAAACATCAGAAAGCCCTCTGATGGCATGCTGAGCACTGTCCTCAGCACCCTACAAGATTCAGACACACAGACCTGGGGCAGCATGGCCAACGTCACACATCAGTCATGTTATCCTGGCTTATATCTTTCATACATCCCATGGCACTCAGTCTCTCTCATTGAGCTGCCAGAAACAAGTTAGTCGTGTGAAAGTGTTACCAAGAGGTCACGGGCCGCCTTGACGTGGGTCGGACAGGTGCTGTGGGCATGTGCACACACAGGCATGAGGCCCAGCAAGGCCCTGAAGTGAGCACAAGCCAGGCAGTCACAGCCCAGAATCCTGCAAAGACCATCACTCTACGTGGCAGCTGTTCATCATACCACAGAAAGAACGGGAACTAGCACTCTAAAATGAACAGCCACTTTCGTGAATGACTACTTTTCTGTAATATCCCAAAAGGGAAATTTTTTAATAAATAAAAATACCCCTGACTGTAATCCTTACTATAAAGCTACAGTAATCAAGGCAATGTGGTTTTGGCAAATGGACAAACAAAATAATTTATAGAGGAGAAAAGAGGATGCAGAAATATGTCCACGAAAATACAGTCATCCACAGCTCTGACAAAGGAATGCAGTGACCCAGCAGTGCAAAGACAGATCTTCCAGAAGACCAGCAGGACACAGGATGGCCACCAATCAGGCATTAAACCAAGATGCTAACTGTGGACTTCACAAACAATACACCAAAATGGACTTCCAATAAAACAAAAACCTCTCTTGAAGGTTCTACCTGTTTATGGAACTTCTTTGGTTTCT